GCGAGCCCCAGCCCTGGCCTGGTACCCAGAAGATGAGCCTGCCTCTGGGCCTAGCCAGTGTTGGGGAGGGGACGCTTGTGCTTGGACCCCCATGGCTTCTGCACTTAAAAGGGTCAGGCCCTAGTCCATCCTCCTCCTGTCCCCAACTGCCCTGCTCAGGGCCCCTCACCTGTCTTACAGCCGAAGTGGCCTGGTCCTTGTCACTGTCTGGGAACCTGGGGCTCCCCCTGGACCTGGTCGAGCTAATGCTGGAGGAGAAGGGCGTGCGACTGGACTCAGCTGGGCTAGAGCGGCTGGCCCAGGAGGAGGCCCAGGTACGGGCTGTGGGTCCCCACTGGGGTCCTGCCATCCTCCTTCCCGGCCCCAGGCTCCAGGGGAGGAAGTTTGGGGGAATAAGCAGCTGAGGTATGCGACCCAGCAAAAAGGCATCATGGGGGCAGCAATAGGGGAGGGAGAGCCCACCCCGAGGCACCTACAAGGGCAAGGGGGTCACCAGGCAGCCCGAGCCTTATCCCAGCTGAGTGACAGGGACAGGGCCCTGCAGAGGCTCAGGCCCGTCACATCCCACCCCCAATTTCCACGTGCACACACCTGCCCTGCAGCACCGGGCACAGCACGCCGAGCCAGTCCAGGAGCGAGCACTGCAGCTAGACGTCCATGCCCTGGCGGAGCTGAAGCAGCAAGGGCTGCCCCCCACTGATGACAGCCCCAAATACAACTACTTCCTTCGACCCAGCGGGGGTTACGGTGAGAACTGGGGCCCAAGCAGGTGGCTTGTGCTGCTTGCCAGCAGGGATTCGAAGGATGTGGCCAACCCCTGTGCATCCCCCAGAGCAGCCACCAGAGGTCTATGTGGCCACCGCCACTGCCCCCTAGCTGGAAGTCCCCTCAACCTCATGCCTAGGGCCTCCAGACCACCCAGCCCTGATGGCCTCCCGTGCCCCAGCAGAGTTTGGAACCTGTGAGGCCCAGGTGCTTCAGCTGTACGCAGAGGACGGGGCAGCTGTGGCCTCTGTCGGGGGAGGCCAGCGCTGTGGGATCCTCTTGGACAGGACCAACTTCTACGCTGAGCAGGGCGGTCAAGCTTCAGACCGCGGCTACCTGGTTCCCGTGGAGCAGCAGGTGAGGTGCAGGCCTGATGGAGCCAACGGGAGGGCGGGCTCCAAGCAGTCACTCTGATTCCTGGGCCCTGCCCTGCCGCTTCCCTTGCCCAGGATGTCCTGTTCCCCGTGGCGGGGGCCAGGGTCTGTGGGGGCTTCGTTCTGCATGAGGCGGTGGCACCTGAGTGCCTGAAGGTGGGGGACCAGGTGCAGCTGCACGTGGATGAGGTAAGCATCCCCCCACCCCAGTTGTTGTTGATATCCCATGCCCAACTCTCCCCCTCCCCTCCCAACACCCCTCCCCCAGGCTCTGGGTGACACACGTGTTGCAGGCCTGGCGATTGGGCTGCATGGAGAAGCACACGGCCACCCACCTGCTGAACTGGGCCCTGAGAGAGGTCCTGGGCCCTGGCACGGAGCAGCGGGGCTCCCACCTCAACCCAGAGCGGCTGCGCCTCGATGTGGCCACGCAGGTGAGCACTGAT